TGTTTCAGAATTTTGGAACACTATAAACTTGCTAGAAAGGATGTGAGACTTCCACAGGCACAATTTTCTCGCAATCACAGAATAATGTACTTCTGAATTGTTTGAACTTCTTGAAATAGAAGTGGCAGGGATTGATCCAACGAGCCAAGTTGCCCTCGCATAGCGACCAATTCCACTGAACCAACAGAAAGAAGTTACTGAAAGCCGGCAGAGAAACAGCATTTACTCTAGCAAATTCATTGAATACAAATTCACGTATACAAAAAAACAGTGTGATATGTGAAAAGCAGTGAAATCTCCACAGAGCCGTGAATATTGGCTAATCGATCAATATCTATGGAATACACGTGGAGCAATGAATTCCTGGTCCAACACACGGCTCAAGGAACAGCGAGGCAAATAGTATAATAGTATCATATATCAATATTTGTTAGAGTATTTAAGCTCCACGAGAACCCGTTCAGTTGAATTTGGAGACCAGGCAGCCTTCGAGACGACTACAAATCAGTGGCAAATCGATAAATCAATAAATCAATCAATAAAAAACACCGCGCATGAGACCGCTATAAAATAAGCGAAAAGTGACAGAGTGAAGGAATTGAATAGCAAATGGACTTTGTACACAAACAGCATATGTAAGCCTGAAACAATATATCACAAGGAAAAGCCTGGTCGTAAAAAATCGATAATCGATTAGCAGAGCAGTGAAAAAGCATTTGGCTGACAACTACAAGTCTGGAACTTGTTTGGTCCTTAACCTATACTCATATTTGGCCATAAAAATCTATAGAGAAGAGTGCCAATGGAATTCAATCGATATGTGCTATAGGATATTGATGTGTGACAATTATTCAGAATGAAAGCTACCCGGATATCGATCGGTTGATCGATCGAGCTTCCGCTAGTGTCAGCGACAGTGAACTGAGGACGAGTGCATGAAGATCGTAGGATGAGGTGCTCGTTCTTACTAGGGAGAGTCCAGACCAGGACACAAACGCACAGGCGTCATCTCCCGACATCTGAGAGTGGGATCCCCACATCCGTCGCTTCTGGGAAGAAGAGCTGAGAGAGTACGGTATCCGGGAAGTGAGCAACGGTGTAACAGCGAATGCAGCTAGATCGAAGCTCTGGAGCTTTTCCGACTTGTCGACGACGTTTCAGTTCGGGAGTACTCACGGCTGAACCGGCGACCTGATGTTCCTGAAGTGAGCCACTTGAGAAAAATCAATAAGTACGGGAACAAATCGATACTGTCCACATAATCCGTTTGAGTCAATCGGTGCGGTTCACTTTGTTTGAGCCTCAGCTGCTTCAATTTATCACACAGTTATGGGTTATCATTACCTCCACAAGGGTCTGTATGATGGACTTTAATCGAAATCCAGACCGGTAGATTCAGTTATGGAGAATTGCCGATTGTGGCCATAGGGAGGGAGTGTCCAAAGTTCGGAAAATAATCCTGCCATTTGGAAAACAAGGCCTAGGGTGTGGTAGTAAGCTGAGGCACACTATCTGAGGGTCATATTTCCGAACCGACCTTTTATATTAAGTGCCCCACCCGGTCAACCAAGTCTTCCATCCTTTCAGTGCGCAACGTTTTATAAGTAGTCCCTTTAGGGGAAGGAAATTTGATGGATTCTCGTCCCTCTTTCCCTGGGGCAAGTAGTACAGCATACTGCCCAAAGCCTAAGGCTCGATATGCCAAATTTTAAGCGTGCTCTATTTTCGGCTTCTAGAGTTCACTTAATTTTAGGCTGAAACCTACCTCGCGATACGTCAAGTACACTGCGACACCCCATTCCTCGTCACCGTGCGTCTGTCGTCGCATGCCTTGTTCTCAAGCGCTCAGCTTCTGTCGAACATTGCACTCGTGGAAGTTCTGCCATTTGTTTTCCAGCGCAACATCTCATAAAGGAAGACCCTGAAATCATTACCGCGGACTCAGTTTGATTCAAGGAGAGAAAGACGTTTGGAATTGGTAAGATTCCCGAAAACTACTGGATTTAGTGACAAGATGCGTCAATGTGAACTAACTATCCATATGTATTGATTTAGAACTATTGATTAGCATGACAGTATTCAAAAATTTTGATTTTTTAAATTTTTTTTTTTTTTTTTTTTTTTTTTTTTTTTTTTTTTTTTTTTTTTTTTTTTTTTTTTTTTTTTTTTTTTTTTTTTTTTTTTTTTTTTTTTTTTTTTTTTTTTTTTTTTTTTTTTTTTTTTTTTTTTAAAAAAAAATTAAAAAAAAAAAAAAAAATTATAAAAAAAAAAAATAAAAATAAATAAGTAAAAAATGTCTTTAATGAAATCCGTAGTTGAAAAAAGGTGGGTGCGGAAGTGGGCGGTTCAAGGTATGAGGCGTTCGAGAAAGTTCATATGACAGGTATGTGACAACTAAACAGAGGCTTTGGAATCTAGAAGAATATCCCGACCCTCACCTGGACAGAGAGGACCAGGCTGATTATCCTTAGCCAATAGGAAATCAAGAAGTCTAGCACACAACACCGATGATTAGAAGAGTTTGGACGAAAAGTGGGAACCGTTCCAATTAGCCTAATTGTAAGCCGTTTTCGAGAGTTCTCCACAACAGTCATGGAGAGAAGAGATATGGAAAGCAGGGTCAACCCTACGTTGTTACGAGTAACAACGGGGGGGGGGGTCGTACCTTGGTTGAGTTTGTAGGGGGGGGGTCGTACCCACTTTAGTCGCTCGAAATCACGTGTGGGATTGAGGTGAAACTAAGATTTCGTGGGTAGTAGGCTGGGCGAGTGGAGGGCGCAGGATAAAAATTTGCCGTTTCAGCGGGCGTATATACCCCCTCCCCCCTAGAAAAGGAAGTAGTGGGAGTATAGGTAAAAAATGGGTTGAAATGGTGGAAATAGAAGGAAATTTTCGGAGATATTTACCGTTTCGAGTGACTATATACCCCCCCCCTCCCCCTCCCTCGCTCGACGGCATTTTTGGAGGAAAAAGTGGGCGGGGTTTTGATGGAAGATGGAGATGGTGGAGGTAGGGAAAAGGGGGTCGTATCAAATCCACGTTGGGGGAGGGGGGTCGTAAAAATTTTTCGAAAAGTAACAACGATAGGACAGACCCTGCTTGGAAGCCAAGAATGGTTGGGGGTCGTACTTGGGATGGTGACCGATTGATATTGAATGGGTAAAGAGTGGAGGAACGTCAAAAATCGGCAAAAATAGGGTGTAGAAAAATGAAAAGGAAAATATGCAAAAAATATGAGATTACCTCTTCGGGGTTCGATCGCATACTGTCGAGTTCATTCTGTACAACATCTAACAGTTGATAGAGTTCTTCGAGCGAATAGTCGCGTTCGAGCTTGATCTCCGGTTCTTCACCAGTCTAAATCAATCGGTATCGAATCCACAGTATGCCGCTCCTACGGTATCTAGCCAGCTAGAGTTCGAAAGCATCATGCCGAACCCGTAAATCGAGAAGCGAGCTGCGCATCACCCCCTGGGCAGATGGCTACCTGGCCAGCTAGAATACGTAAAAACTAGTGTTTAAGGTAAGGATGGAAAGTATGGGTTGCCGAAATCCAACAGGAATTGAAATCTCACGCTTCCTTCACGCATTCAAGTCAAGGAAGCAAAAAATCAATACTAATCAATATCTTGAAAAAGTAGGCTAATGATCGTTCGATCTTGACATATCATGCTAGTAGGCATGCCCTGCCTGCTGTGATTGTGGAAATTTCTACCCTATAGGACCACGACCAAGCCTAAATAATCAAAGGATACCCTCCCCTACCCTTCCTGTTAGAGGACCCTCAATGCCGGCCGTATTCACCGAACTCATGAGAATGAGCCTCAGCACCGTAAAGCGTAGAAGTGCCAAAAACCGGCATCGACCAATTGCAGGAAGAGTGGGCGGAGCTGGCCCGATTTGGGCGTGGCTCGCCGTTAAGCAGGATAAGGTCAATTATTGAAGCAGAAGAAAAGGAATCCCAGTAACCATTGAAAAAGCTACCTTCACCTACACGACACTGTCGTCAACTCCAATGCATTAGCCTGAATAGTTGAACAGCCGATCAATAAAATCGATAACCCGAACTCTGACTAACCTTTTGATTGAGAGCATAAGCACTCGGGCCGAAAACTTTCACTTATGTCCCACCTCGTTTTTCTGTTCGTTCATGCCGGAGACATGCCGGTACACCGGGTAGTACGGTAATTTGTGGAAGCGAAAGTAGTCGAAGTGAGAGGTGATCGAGTAGCAGTTGGGTTTCACGCTGAAAATCACTCTCTGAAGTTTTTGCTAAACCCCAAATAGCGATAGAAGAACCTATCGGAGAGAACTCCAGGTCTACAATAGCCATTAGTTCGCAAATTATGGAAAATTTGGTCACAAACTCCGCCCACAAATTCGCCACGCCCACAATAGTGGGCACGCCCCCAATCGCTCAGAAAAAGAGGCGAAACTTTGGCGCATTCTTCTAGAAGTTGTGCAAGATGCTGCTATGTGATGTTATGGCTCTACAGCAGTTTTTTCCCTTTTTCTCACCAGTGGTGGACCCATCAGCACAAATTCTTCTTTTGGACCCCCCAACATACGCCTGTTGAATCACATAAGTTTTTAGGGGGAAAGGGAGAGGCCAAGAAGCAAGGCTGGTCACAAAAAGGCATAAAGTAGTACACAGAGTTAAAAAACGCTCAGGTTAATCGGAATCTGTGCAGGACCCACCTGGAAGCAGTCCAGTACACGATTCGGTTCTGGAAATGTACGACTACACAACGATACGCTCACATCGATGCCGTCGCCGTGCTGCACGAACACGAAAGCCGCCCTCACAGACGCAGCCAGCGATGGAAACACGAACATCGTCCGAACGAGGGCGTCGGAGGAAATCTGAAAAGCTACAGTTCGGCAGGCGAAGTGGGTGGGATTAGGCCAACTAATGGAAGGTATCTTTACCAGGCCGTTACCCATGGGTGAGGGTGTTTTCATATCAAATCCTGATCAAACCCGCAGCTCCACTAACTATGACACGGCCCTACTCTTACGGTTGAACCCGGTCCTTTGAAGCCGCCTCAGATCCATCGTCTGCGCTCTCTCACCTTATCATGGCCATTGTGATCACACACATTCAAACTTTTGCCACACTGTAGTTGGCTCACCCACCTCGAAGTCCCTCCCTCCTACAAGGCTTAGTCCTAGAGGCTCTCACCTCCTTCCCTTGGGATTTGGAGCCGAGCCAGGCGCCGTTCTCTAACTGTCTGCCCTCTGTGCCCTCCGCCATTC